TCGTCATTTCCCAGACAACTGGACGCCGTTTTTTCATCATACGGTATATATTGACAAAAAAACACTGAAAAGCACATATTTGTTTTCTACTGAAAATAATTCCAAAATAATTCACAATCTGGCAACATCGAAGATGTGCGCATGCGTAGTGTCTGTGACTATATGCAGCAAAAACTCGTTTCAAGGTCAGCCACCGGATCCACACCATTACCGTGAACTATTATGTTTGTCGAAAAATAAGACCTATTTTTGCAGTCTTTATAAGCACACACATTGCCACCATCTCGTCTTTTCCTGCTACTCGTGTCCTGTTGGGTACGGTATTCATATTTAACAATATTTACAAATTAGTACGCAACAAAAACGATACTAAAATTAAACCTTAAAAACTCTCAAAACGATAATATATCGAAAAACTCTGAAAACACACTTTAAAAAGGCAAGAATGCAAGAAAACAACTAATCAGATTTGTTTATGTTTAAGCCTGATTAGCTCAGCTGATTGGCGTCCTAAAATCATAGGTTAGATTAGATAAAATACGCCGTTGTCAGATTTTGAGATTTTATCTGTTTATCTTTGAAATCGATCAACTAAGTCATTCTATTTCTTTGATATTATCAGTGCATTGCGAAAAAAGAACCTAAACTAAAAATTTTACATTTCCGTATTAATTACTAATTAATATACGTTACTTATATCCTTCTTATATTATTAATTTATTTTCAGAAAATCTTGTTTATTTTTCAAAGAAATATACTTGGCAACAGACAAAATGGGACTTGATGGGACCTTTAAATTTTAATATATCTGCGTCTCTCTCGCGAAATTTGACTTCTTTGTTCACTGTCGTCTCTTGTCTTATCTACTCTTTGGCTGTAGTAAAATTTTGATGAAAAATCCGGCAATACCCCATAGAAGAGTATCTCTCATGTATCAACTCAATGACTAAAAAAATACAAGGACTAATAACACCCGAGACCAAATTGTTACCATACCACCAAACAGTGCCGTGGCACATATTTTTCTTAACATCGCTGATGACTCATTCGTTACAACCAAATAAATGGCGTATAAAGGTGCGTTTAGACTTGAGCACGTACGAGCTGAGCGTACGCGCACGGCATTCGTGCGCGCACAGCAGAGTTGTGTTGGTGAAAATAATGGACGACCAAGAAATAGTCGCGACTGCATTCATTGTTATGCACAGCTTAACAATGAAAATGAGCTAATAAAAAGAAGAAAAATCGAAAACATCGTCGCTGCTAGCAAATCCATAGTCGATATAATTTATTAAACAACTTAGTGTCTGAGGAGAGCTATGTTCAGTATTAATTTTATTTACAAGGTCTTGGTATGCGTATTTTTTTGGATTTTGAATAATATGAAGAATGTTTAACATCCTATAATATCGGCAACTTTTCATATTCTTGAATTAATAGTAACGAAGATTTGGTTTAGAAGAATTAATAGAAAACGAAAAAAAATCACAGACGCACGCACACATGCAGACAAAACAAATTGCCGGTGCAAACTGAGCGTTCGCGCACACATAAAATCCCTTTGAGCACGGACCAAAAACCGACACCAAACGGCTCATGTTCGCGGCTGCTCGCGCACAGCTTCAGAGTGACCGTGCGCGCATAGCCGTTTACACTTGAGCATTCGCGAAGGATCAGTGCATGCGTGCTCAAGTCTAAACGCACCATAACATCACAAATTCTGCTGCAGCCCCTATATGGGCGTTACTTGTCCTTGTATTTTTAAGCATTGCAAAAAATAGTTTGGATATACAGGGTGTTTCAAAAATATTGTGTGTGCACTATGTGCGTATATTTGAAGTTGGTTAGGTTGTAGCCTAACCAAACTTCTTACTAACAGCTATGAAATTCAAGGATTTAAAGGACATTTTTGAAAAAATGTAGTTTGAAATGTTGTGAAAGTAATGAAAGAATATTCTTTCACGCGTAAAAAATATTTTTTACGTGTAACGAATAGTTTTTTTACTCGTAAAAAAATAGTCTTTTTACGTACAACAAATATTTTTTAATTTGTCACAGCCGTGTGTCACGTCCTTGAATTTTTACTTCCAGCGCACATAAAGAAGTTTCACTGCAATAAATTACATGAGGAATCTCCCCACGGGATATGGCACGTTTTTTGAAACACCCTGTATTACAGTAACTTTAATAAGAAAGGAATAACTTGAGCCACCCTATACACTGGGTATGTATATCTTATTTTTTGATGTGTTCAGCGCCAACCGAAGTGTTTGTAGAACCATATAATAAAAAAAACAATTTCAAAAATCCTTGACTTTATTTCAAATGGTAAACAAGTAAAATTAGAACAACGAACGCTTAAAATGTCTGTTTAACAAATTATTATTGTTATATTATGAACAAAATGTGTTTGGAAAGGTACAATGTGATCGAAAAGTTGTATGATCAAGAGTGCTTTGCACTTGACTTGATCATCAAACTTTTTAACTAAAAAAAGCTCCTCCAAAATTCGAAAATATGTTTCAATTCATCACATTGTTATTTTCTTAAGATACACAAATACTGATATACAAACAAAACTTAACTAGTTATCATTTTTATCACATAATCAAAAAACCACTGGGGCTACTAAAGAGAAACACAAATATTTACAGACCAAAGAATTCAAAAAAAATCTTGAGAACATATAGGTATGTCTATTTTGAAGAAACATACCAAAGAATGTAAATAAACGACTACACTATTTTAAATAAAACAAAAAATCAGCGAACTATGGACACATCATTATATGCAAAATAAACAAAAATGTAAATATATACATAATATACAAACAGCAAACCTAAAATTATATCCTTAACATGTCAATCAAAGAACCATACACAAAAGTAGGTAAGTATATTATAAATTATTTCATTTATTAAAATAATTATGGAACTATATTTTTTTGAAGAATATAGCCAGTAATGAAAAAAAACGACGACATAGCAGCCCTTCAAAAGTAAATCGAAAAGTTAGATTGGGCCAATCCCTATATGCCATTTATTAAAAAGTGACAATAAAAATTTGTAACTTTTGACAGTTTCAAAACCACTGTGACGCGTTTTTTATCGTATTCTAGATGTTATTATAGATGGACGTATTAAAAATACATTTAAAGAAGCTTTTAAAGAAAAAATAATAATTTTATAGTAAAAACATTTCTAGATATATTTCTTTGTAAAAAAATGTTTTCTACTATGACTAGAAAAGTGAGAAAATACATCTATAAAAATAATAAATAATTCTTATTATGTTTTAAAAATAACACACAACTATTTATTGAGATTCATGTTTAACTTGTGTTCTCAATATATCAAAAGCAAGCAAATTTAAAAATTATTATGTAGAGAGAAATCATTAAAAGTTGGCATGTACAGGGTGGGTCAAATTGAACGCTTTTAAACGAAAACACCTTTTTCTATAGAAGATAGACAAAAAAACTATTATCGGTGTCTGGAGCTCAATTTTTGTCAAAAACATGCTGGTGAAAACCGTACATCGATATCTGTTACCGTTTCGGAGTTACGGGGTGTTTTTCAAAAATGTGCATTCTTAACCAATCGTTTAACTTTTTTGCTATGGAAAATTTTGTATTTTTTGAAAACATTTCCGAAGCACCTTTTTACGTAAAATTTAATGGTTTAAGTATATTTTTTTTTAAATTAATAATTTAAGAATTATCAACAGAAAATTTGATTTTTATATGGGACACCCTGTATATTTTTAGTTCATTGAAAATATTCTAAAATTACCTTTCCAAAAATATAGCAAACTATATTTAACAACATCAACACGTTTAAACTATATCTAATAACAATAAAAATTAATAGCAAACCAAGACATGAGATTTTGCTACAGGTGTTCAACATGTCAACCGTCTTCTGTTATGGACAGACGGGACCGTTTTTGAACATTTCTCGCGGAATTCATTAACTCAGTGGGGTGAAAGATACCCTCGCATAACCGCTAAGTACCATTGCGATAAAAAAAATAGTACAACAAAATATGATTTAATCTCCTGGTCTATAATAAAATAAAAAAAAATTGCCCATTTTTAAAAGGTAGGTAAATTTTTTAAACTTTTACTTCGCCACGTATACCTACCAATTATTACCAAATTCATGGTAGCGCCTAAAAAGTTAGGTGGCATAATTGTATTGTTCGACGATATCCACTTCTCGAAATCCTTATAGACCAGGAGTTCTATCTGAGACTACTAATTCTTGTATTAGTTTTTTTTTATCGCAATGGTACTTCTAATTTTTGTCTAGATTATACGGGCAATATTTAAAAATAAGAACCTTTATTCTTCGGTAAAGATAAAAATCTACTAAGGATAACAGGCACTAAGTCCGGTGGCCTCGACGGCCAACGGCTGGGATTTTGGTTAGCTATTCAATTATCCTCAAAATTGGCTGCAAAAATTTCATGATAACTTCAGCGCTCTGAGGCGGTGCCTCGTCCTGCTGGAAAAATATGTTTTTCGAGTTCCATTAGGGGCAGATCATCAATAAGGGGTCCAAAGCCTACTAGTTAAAAGTGGCGAACTTTTAAAAATTCTGTATTTCGAAGTGGACTATAACAAAATATCAAGTGTGCTATATAATTCTGGAAAAGTAATTTTAAGTTCTTTTCAGTTAATTCAAAATATACAGGGTGTCCCAAGATATAAAATCATTTTTTCTGTTGATAACTCTTAAATTGTTAATTTTAAAAAATGATACTTAAACCAATAAATTGTACGTAAAAAGATGCTTTGAAAATGTTTTCACAAAAATACAAAATTTTCCATAGCAAAAATGTTACAGCGATTTGTTAAAAATGCACAATTTTGAAAAAAAAACACCCCTTACCCAGCTCATAGAGGGTAATAGATATCGATGTGCGGTTTTCACCATCATGTTTTTGATATAACTTGAGCTCCAGACACTAATATTACTATTCGTCTATCTCCTATAGAAAAGGTTGTTCCCCTTTAAAAGCGTCGAATTTGACCCACCCTGTACTGTGTCTAAAATTGAAGTAAAAAATTTGTTACAAAATTACAAATTTTATCTGACACTTGTCAAAAATCAAAGTAAAAAAAGTAACCGTGGCAACACTGCGACCTGCCTTCGTCAAATATTTTGATGACGTACTAGCCAACTTTTATTGATTTTACTATATGTTTTTTTCAATACAAATTTCACTAACACTGACTTCTTGGAAGAATAAATAACTCTCTTCATATGCTATAAAAAATTCTTTGGAGAAAATACGTGTTTTTATTTTTATTATCGTCACTATATTATGTCCAAAATATCTGTCTGTCTTTTTTTTCTCAATGTTTCCGCTTTACTTTTTAGTGTGTAGGTATTTCAAACAGAAAAATATGGCTGTTATTATTATAAATCCATATGCAAACCTACTGCCGATCTGTCAATAGCTTCTCGGCCATTGGTTGTCTTTGTCTGTTAAGGGTACATAGACGACGCCCATGAGAACCCTACGTTCTAGAGATCCATCGGGTAGTTTGTCTATTTGTTCTAATTGTTGGTCTCCACCGGCAGGTCCAACGGGTATAACTAGTCTACCACCAACCTTTAAAAATAAAAATATAATATACAGTATGTCCCCAGAATCTTCACAAGAGGAAAAACTTTTTTATAGTTAACTTTTTGAGAAAAACGCGTTTTTCATAAAAGTTTTTGCTTTAAAATGTTTTTGCTTTTAAATCCCGTCTATACTTTACCAAATTGCCATATCGTTTTAGACATAGACTTAAAATAAAATATAGACTGAGCATCTCATTCATAAATAGCTGGAACATGCGGTCAGACAATGTCTTGTTATTGTTGTGTTATTGTTTTAGGTTATAACGAGTGCGACACGAGCGATAGATAGGTTGTCTCTGTCGTAACGGTCGCTCCCTGACGACTCTGCCGAGAAACACAACACTGTCTTTCGTTTCTCAAGTACACCTGAACTCTCCGTATCATAGCCGGGTAATTTTTTTATCTTAATGAAGCTATAATTAAATTAAAAATATATCGTATTTAACTTTTTATATTTTATTAAGATTTAGAACAGGTTTTTACCAACCAAAAGTGGCTCATCCCCCATATTTTTTTTTATATTTTCAAATAAAAAACAAGATTTAGTATGTTAGTATATGACATAAATTAGGATTGATTGACGCATTCAATTGTTTTTGGTCACTTCCTGTTTCACCGGAAATGACTATAACTTTTAATTTTTAAACGGCACCCTCGGTATATTTCTACTTTTTCGATAGAAAATGACACTCTGAATAGAATGACATATCATATGTCAACTTTTGACATTTTCGCATATGGTTTAATTGTAATTGTAACACGCGGTTCATAACGACAATTTGACTCGAAATACCAAGTGTGTGGTATCAATATATTCATAAAAAAATGCTTTTTCCAAATATGCTAATGAGTCACCCTTGTTCCATTTGAAAAAATTGACATATGTATGATTAAAAATACGATTTGTACATATTTTAACCGACTTAGACAAGACACGAAACCTATTAGACGATCAAAACTATTTTTCCAAGGCTCCTTGATTAAAACTTAGTGTTTTTAACAACACCATGGCACCCTGGATTGAAATTTAAAATACGATTTGTTTTTCAGCGACAATGTCAAAAGTTGACATATGATATGTCATTCTATTCAGAGTGTCATTTTTTATCGAATAAAGTAGCAATATACCGAGGTTGCCTTTAAAAATAAAAAGATGTAATCATTTCGGTGAAACAGGAAGAGACCAAAAACAACTGAATACATCAATAAATCCTAATTTATGTCATATACCTATAACATACAAATCTGTTTTTTTTATCTGAAAAAATAAAAAAGTTATAGGGGGTGAGCCACTTTTGAGACGACCCGGTATATTAAAAAATATTGTTTCATAATGTAATATCAATTTAAAATTCTTGTATGTTATTTTATATGCTCAAGATAATTTTAGAATAAACCATATTTTTAATAAAATCATTATTAATTATTAACAGGGTTATAATTATGACTTTGTTACAATGTAAGTAAGTAAATAATGTAATGAGAAAAAATTCAGATTTTACATTTTACTAAAATATTATCTAAATAAGCGCCTTTCTACAACAACGCCACTGGCTCCCAATGGGCAAATTGAGAGTTGTCTACCGGTCGAAAGTCGTTTCAAGACTTAAATGGATTATTTAAGTCAAATTTCTTGCAAATTTGGCACTGGCGAACCATATTTTATAGTTCTTGAACAGAAAAAGTCAATAAAATAAACACTTAAGGACTACAAACTAAGAAAATGCGTTAATACAGCCGGGGACATAGCGGCATCAAAGCTTTACCGCACACTTGCCACGCGTACTACAAGGTAATAAATGAATGAATAGGCTCCCTCGCCTCTAATCGGTGTTGTCATATTGTAAAGAACTTATCCTTTTTAAACAGTATCCGACTTATAATTTAGTAGTATAAGGACTATTTAATACATCTATGGAATATTAAAACCTACTTTATTAACTGTAGATTAATATCTCAATATATGTGTGTAACAAGAAAAAAAATATTGATAATATTAAAGACGTGACAACATAGGCTGGATGAGGAAGGCTCGGTCGACTGTACCCAGAAGTAAACATGTGTACAAAAAAGCTTGTTTGACCGCGTTGAGATGTAAATAGTATAGTCTATATTTTATTTTAAGTCTATGGTTTTAGAGGAAAATAAGGAAATATGAAAATATAGTTGAATTTTTCCACGGTATAGTTGAAGTCAAAGGTTGAAGTCTCAAAAATCAAAATGCTTTCTATCGTGCATTTCTGTGGTAATAGTCTAGTAAATGAAGGTTGAAGCCACGGCCTAATTCGTCAACCGGGACTTTTCAGGCGGATTGTGTTCCTTTTGGGCAGTAGTTTTAGGGAAAAAAATTGTAACACCGCGCTCGGCCAGCTTTGGGCCTAAAATGGTCCCAAATGGCCGAAATATCAGTTTTTCGCAAATATCTGCCAAAATATGTAATTTACAAAATTTGGAATAAAAAATTTAGCTTAGGTAATTACCTATAAAAATAGTGCTTATCATTTTTTACGTCATTTGGAACTTGTTTGAATTTTCTCAAATTTTATGATAAAAAAACCGGGCAAACATTCATTGGCCCAAAAATTTTCAGATTTTTACAAACTTATTCATATTTTCACTAATAATAGCTTATTTGTCAAGTTTTTCTTTGTGCGTGTGCCAGATCTCGCAAGCATTGTCATACACACTTTTAAGTCATGTTCCACAGCCCTTAGACCATCAAGGGACGTAGGACATCCCTTGTATGCTGATATTTCAGACCAAATGGTGAAGGTAGTCTATTCTATCCGGGAAAATAGACAAGAACAATATACATTGAAACATAGACTTAAAATAAAATATAGACTGAGCATCTCATTCATAAATAGCTGGAACATGCGGTCAGACAATGTCTTGTTATTGTTGTGTTATTGTTTTAGGCTCTAACGAGTGCGACACGAGCGATAGATAGGTTGTCTCCGTCGTAACGGTCGTTCCCTGACGACTCTGACGAAGAATGCAACACTGTCTTTCGTTCCTCAGTACACCTGAACTCTCCGTACCAAAGCCGGGTAATTTTTTTATTTTAATTAAGCTACAATTCAATTAAAAATATATCGTGTTTAACTTTTTAATATTTTATTACGATTTAGGAGAGGTTTCTTAAATAAAAGTTTAGAAAAAAACGTCCAAAAACGATAAAAATAATAAAAAAAATTTAATATTCGAAATTACGTATTTAATTTTTAGTCAAACATTATAATGGAATAACTAACATAATAGAATCGGCGACTTGGAAAGGAGAAAAAACTTCATGATTGTTGTAATTTTTTTTTCTGATAAATGATATCTTATTATGTAAATTAGGGAAAACAGAAATCGTTCCATTAAAGCAAGCTTTTAGGAAGTGGATAAAATGAAGACTACATTTATTTAACTCGCTACTGTCTTTATTATACCGGCTGCGTCCCAAAAGTGGCTCACCCCCATAATTTTTTTTATTTTGTCAAATAAAAAAACAAGATTTGGTATGTTAGTATATGACATAAATTAGGATTGATTGACGCATTCAATTGTTTTTGGTCACTTCCTGTTTCACCGGAAATGGCACCCAGGTATATCTCTACTTTGTTCGATAGAAAATGACACTCTGAATAGAATGACACATCATATATCAACTTTTCACATTTTCTCATATGGTTTAATTGAAATTGTAACACGCGGTTCATAACGACAATTGGACTCGAAATAACAAGTATCAATATATTCATAAAAAAATGCTTTTCGAAATATGCTAATGGATCACCCTTGTTCCATTTGAAAAAATTGACATAATCTGATGAAAAATACGATTTGTACATCTTTATAACCGGCCTAGACAAGACACGAACAACAATTGACGATCAAAACAATTTTTCCCAGGCTCCTTGATTAAAACTTAGTGTTTTTAACACCGCCATGGCACCCTGGATTGAAATTTAAAATATGATTTGTTTTTAACCGACAATGCCAAAAGTTGACATATGATATTATGTCATTCTATTAATAATAATTAAAAATAATTAATTTATGTCATATACTAACATACAAATCTGTTTTTTTTATCTGAAAAAATAAAAAAGTCATAGGGGTGAGCCACTTTTGCGACGCGCCCGGTATATTAAAAAATAATGTTTCATAATGTAATATCATTTTAAAATTCTTATATGTTATTTTAGATTCTGAAGATAGTTTTAGAATAAACCGGAATATATTTTTAATAAAAACATTATTAATTTTTTAACCGATTCCTAATATAATTTATCTTGTATAATAACAGGGTTATAATTATGATTTTGTTACAAAAACTTTTATATAAATGATTATGTAATAGAAAAAATTCAGATTTTAGATTTTACTAAAATATTATATAAATAAGCGCCTTTCTACAACAACGCCACTGGCTCCCAATTGGTAAATTGAGAGTTGCCTACCGGTCGAAAGTCGTATCGAGACTCAAATGGATTATTTAAGTCGAATTTCTTGCAAATTTGACATTGGTGAACCATATTTTATAGTTCTTGAAAACAAAAAGTAAATAAAATAAACATTTAAGGACTACAAACTAAGAAAATGCGATAATACAACCAGAGATAAGTAGCGGCAACAATGCTTTACTACACACGTGCGACGCGTACTACGAGTTAATAGAAGAATGAACAGGCGACCTCGCCTCTAATCGGTGTTGCCATATTGTAAAGGATTTATCCTTTTTACATAGTATTCGACTTATAATTAAGTAGTATAAGGACTATTTAATACATTTATGGAATATTATAACCTACTTTATTAAAATGCAGTATTAATATCTCAATATATGTGTATAATAAGTAAAAAAATATTGATAATATTAAAGACGTGACAACATAGGCTGGACGAGGAAGGTTTGGTCGGCTGCGGTCGAGTGTACCCAGAAGTAAACATGTGTACAAAAATGATTGTTTGACCGTGTTCAGATGTAAATAGTGT